ATATATCGCCCCGCCCATAGGGGCGGAGCCACCTGACGGCTCCACCCACCCCCTCCCCAGCCAGTCCTCCCAGCCGCAAGGGGGCGCCTCGACTGCAGACCTCCCCCCTCCCCCTTCCAAATAAACCAAAAAGGCCAAAAAATCACCATTCTCCAATTTTTATTAATTCCAGTGGCACTAATACAGGCGGCGATGGGCACGAAGGACACTCACACACCTTTTCACCCCCCTCCCCTCCCTGCTCTTCCTCGTTTTGCACAGATTTACCCCATTCTGGGAGAAACAGGAGATCCTTCCTTCCTTCCCCCCCCTCCCCTTTTCCTCCAACCTTCTTTTTGAGTCAAATAAATACAGAATCGGGCAAATCTAGTGGAAATGCTTTAGTTACAATGGCAAAGATGAGTCATGTGCAACACAGAAACCTATAAGGCTTTTTGTTTTTTTTCCTCATTAAGTCTCAATTCGCTATGAAACCCATTAATTAATGGTGGTGGTCACGGGCACCCTTGGCAGGGGCATTAACGCTAATTAATTTTTCTCTCCCTCTTTTAAGAATCTCTCCCCTCCCCCCCCAAGGAGTCCAATAATTAGAGTTTGTCCAGGAAGTTGTCAAGGGCAGGGATCCCTTCCTTCAGGCCCTTGCGTTTGCGGGTCTCGGCCACCACCTGGGAGGGTCGGCTGGCGTTGTCAAAGGGGTCACCAGGGAGGATCTGCCAGTGGTCAAAGACACACTGGGGGAAGGCCTGGCCACCTGTGTTGGACCTCAGATCTGCTGTGAAACCTGGAAGGGAAAAGAAAGGAGGTGAGGTGGGTGAATGGGTGTGGGTTGGGGTTAACCCCAGCAGAGATGATGGGTCAACACCTAGAGCAAAGCATGGAAGTCTCAAGAGATGCCAAGCAGGGCAATGGAGTTGAGGCTGGAGAAGGTTCAAGGATAGATGAGGCTTCCAGCAACATGGTATAGTGGGTCTGGGAGACCTCAGAGCAGCTTCCAGGGCCTGAAGGGGCTCCAGGAAAGCTGGGGAGGGACTTGGGACAAGGGCAGGGAGGGAGAGGACAAGGGGGTAAGGATGAAAAGTGGAAGAGGGAGATTGAGGTGAGACATGAGGAGGGAATTGTGGAGTGTGAGGGTGGTGAGAGCCTGGCCCAGGTTGCCCAGGGAAGCTGTGGCTGCCCCATCCCTGGCAGTGTTGAAGGGCAGGGCAGGTTGGATGGGGCTTGGAGCAACCTGGGCTGGTGGGAGGTGTAGCACCAGGACATGGTTCAAAATTGAGAGGGAGATTCAGACTAGATACAGGATTAAATTTTTTACTGTGAGGGTGGTGAAAATCTGGCCCAGGTTTCCCAGAGAGGTGGGTAAATGCCCCATCCCTGAAACCATTCAAGGTCACATTGGACAGGGCTCTGAGCAACCTCATCTAGTTGAGGATGTGTTTGGGATAGATAAGCTTTACATGTCCCTTCCCACCCAAACCACTCCATAATGCATCTCCCAAGTATCAAGAGGAAACTGCCACAATCTGTGCCAGGGAAGGTTTAGGTTGGATATTGGGAACAATTTCTCCACTGAGAGGGTTGTCAGGTCCTGGCACAGGCTGTCTGAGGCAGTGGTGGTGTCACCATCCCTGAAGGGATTAGACATGTACACGTGGCACACAGAGATAGTTCAGTGGTGGACTTTGTACTGCAAGGTCAACGGTTGGACTTGACTTTAAAGGTCTTTTCCAAGCTAAATGATCCTCCAGTCACTGCCACCAGAGAGTTGGACACAAAGTTCTCCCTCCCAGGGCTGGTATCAAGCTCCCAGAGACCAGCACACTCACCAAAGGACTCGTTGACAGGCAGGTAGGCCTTGACCACAAACATGGGGGTACCAGCCACCTGGGTCTCCTCAAACACGTGGCCACGCTTCCTGTTCAGCACACCATAGATTCCACCAACCACCTGCTCTGGGCACTGAAAGAGAGAGGAGTCAGGACCCCAAAGCTACCATTCCTTCCCAGACAATCTCCTGGGCTGAGCAGAGGTTCCTCACCTGGATTTCCACAAGGTAGATGGGCTCCATGAGCCGGGGCTGGGCAGTGAGCACACAGGCATACAGGCATCTCCTGGCAGTTGGAATGATCTGCCCACCTCCACGGTGGATGGCGTCAGCGTGCAGGGTGACGTCGTGGACATCGAAGCGCACGGCGCGCATGTTCTCCTCACACAGCACCCCCTGCAAAAGCAGAGCAGGTCAAGCAAGAGTGGGGGACAGCTGGTGGTCCCTGCCAGGAGACTCCAGTCCCTCAACTTGTGGGCATTCCCTGGAGACAGGTCCTAGAGCAGGATGCACATGTGCCTACTGGGCCACTCAGCAAGTCACCTTCGTTGCCTGGGACCCGAGGACCAGCTACTCCAGCCCAAGACCCCACTTCAGAGAAGGCTTCAGGCACCACAAACCACCTACACCAGGATCTCCATGCACAGCTCCAAGGTGCACGTCAGCAGAAGTGCTGATAGACATTTATGAGGCTGCAACCTAAGGGTTTGGCCAGGAAAAGTAGTTTTTCACATGACTGGGACAAAAAGTAGTTGCTGTGGATCTTCTGACTTGAGACCAACAGGAAGAAGCTCTCTCCTGCTCCTGGTCCCAGTCTGTCATCAACTTATTTTGGGGTGATTGCCTGTCTAGTCCCGAAAAATTGATAAACAAGGCCAGATCCTTGCTGGGACTCTCAGAGAACCTGACATCATCTTCTGCTGCTATTTGAATTGTTTGCATGTTACTCTTTGAAAACCTTTTTAGAACCCCAAGCACGTGCTGTTAGGATGGATTCCTCCACAGACCTTGTTGTCCCAGGGTGGTGTTTGGTTCCAGCTGTCAAAAGTTTCATTTCTCCTAAAAGCTACTCCTGGATTGTGAATCTGTCACCATTTGTGACACCACCAGCCCCCATGTGAGCCCAGGCCCTGCCCCTACCTCCTTGGTGGCCCACTGGAAGCCAGCCACCACGCTGTCCTTGATCTCGTTCAGGTACTGCACCCCCTTGGTGATGTCCGTCAGGATGTTGGGGCCGGTGCCATCAGGACCAAAGCACCAGATCTTCCTGGCTTCTGTGACATCCCACTCGTACTTCTCAGCCAGGTAACGAGCTCGTTGCTTCAGCTCCTGGCGAGCTGAGACCTCACCCTTGTCAATGTCTTCAGCCAAGCCATCTGGGAAGGGTCTGGCCTTCATGTAGAGCCTGTTGTGTTTGTTGGGGGACTTGGAAAGGCACATCACGTTGGACTCCTCGCTGACTGTCTCTCGGTAGGACACAACAGGGTCTGATTTCTGTGGTGACACAAGAGAAGAGCATTGAGCCACCACAGTTCAGACACCCACTCGAAGGTCACCACTGCAGCGCCTCTACCTTGATGGGGATGCAGGCATGGTCCTCCTCCAGATCCTTCAGGCAGATCTCCAGGTGCAGCTCCCCTGCCCCAGCAATGATGTGCTCCCCAGACTCCTCTATGATGCACTGGAAAGACATTACACAGCAGGTGAGGCTTCCAATCCAACCCAACAAGGGCTCTTGCACATCAAGCACAAGTGACCACCTCCCATCATGGTCTTTGACACCTACGGCTACTTTTAGAAGTAATCTGGGGGTGACAGCACCAACCCCAAGGTGAAACACAGCATCCCTTCCCACTCCAGCAGGCCTAGAACCAACACTTAAGACTTTTCCACCAGCATCCCCAGTACAACCACAACAAAAAGCCCCTGTGCCAACAGGATTAGGATTTCTCCTGCCACCCCAAAAGTGTTTGGACACTCACCTGCACCATAGGGTCAGACTTGGCCAGACGCTTCAGTCCCTCCACCAGTTTGGGCAGGTCAGCTGGGTTCTTGGCTTCCACAGCCACACGCACCACAGGGCTGACACTGAACTTCATGACCCTCATGTTGTGAGCGTGCTCGAAGGTGGTGATGGTTCCAGTCTTCACAAGGAACTGGTCGACACCAACCAGACCAACAATGTTGCCACAAGGCACGTCCTCAATGGGTTCAACATAGCGGCCCATCATCAGAATGGTCCTGGTAAAAGAGAAAGTTGTTTTAATGGAGTTTGGAAGAGGAGATCCCACCAGGCAATGTCCTGGAGTGCAGCAGCAGACCTGAAGTCCATGGTCAAGGTGTCTTGCCTGAGCTCAGAAGTGAGAAGAGGCACAAGGCAGCACCAGAACCACAAACCTGAACCAGGGGACACGCCCCAGCCAGGACTGACCTTTGAATTGGCTTCAGGTACAGATCCTCCTTCTTGCCAGGGGTGTAGTTTGGTCCCATGATTCTGACTTTCAGGCCAGTTGAGACGAGACCAGAGAAGACACGTCCAAAAGCGTAGAAACGTCCCTTGTCAGAGGTTGGCACCATTTTAGAGATGTACATCATCAGGGGGCCTTTGGGGTCACAGTTCTTGATACCTGGGAAGAGAGAGAAGCATTAACTTAGGCCAGCAGCATCTGGTGTGCACACCCTGTCACCGGCATTAACTTAGGCCAGCAGCACTCCAGCAGCATCTGGTGTGCACACCCTGTCACCCCAACTATCACAAAATCGCAGCACAAGACCTGTACCCAGTGTTGTCGCAGCTTTATGAATGTTTCACCCACATAAAAAAACTCCAGACTCAAGAATGACAGTGGCTGCTGAGCCATGTGCTTGGACAACAAGATGGTTACAGGTCTTTTGGGGCACTGCTGTGAAGAGCTGCAAGCAGATCATCCTACCAATGGCAGCCTCATCGTCAGGGGGTCCCTCGTAGAGCAGCTCACAGCGGTACTTCTGAGCTGTGACAGGAGAAGGCAGGTGGATGGTGATCATCTGCAGCAGAGCATCTCCAGCCGGCAGCCACCGCCTCATCACGGCCTGGGCAGAGAGCAGAGGAGTCAGGCCCTGCTGACAGTCTGGCAGCTCACCCACCCTGGTTTCACTGCCCCAGCAGCACCTTCCCACCCACGCTGGGGTTTAAGCTCCTCAGGAAGTTTAGAGCAGCCTGTCTACTCTGAACATCTCAGTGGTGAGAGTGACAGGACAAGGGAAAATGGGCACAAACTGGAGCACAGGAAATTCAAGTTAAACATGAGGAAACACTTCTTGACTCTAAGGGTACCAGAGCCCTGGGACAGGCTACCCAGGGAGGTTGTGAAGTCTCCATCCCTGGAGACATTCCAACCCCACCTGGATGTGTTCCTGTGGGATCTGCTCTAGGGGATCCTGCTCTGGCAGGGGTTGGACTGGATGATCTCTAGAGGTCCCTTCCAACCCCAGCCATTCTATGATTCCACCAGTCTCTTCCCCACAAACACTTCAGACCAAGCTCACCTTCAGCAGGGGTTTGCCCTCCTTGTCCTTATCTTCACTGTCCAGCTTGATGTCCAGTTTCTCAATCAGTTTGGCCGCCTCCTCTTTCTTGAAGTTCATTATTGCATCAAACACCTGGAACAGCAGCAGCAATCAGGAGTGTCACCATGACCCAGTTTGAAGCAGCAGCACAAACGGCTCAGAAGAGAATCTCTGTTCTTGCTCATCACCCAGCTCCATCCATGTGGAGCCTCAGACTTGCCTGCAAATCCTCCACCCCCAGCCTCCCTCACACAGGCTAACCAGGTGTGTCAGATATTGACATTTCTTCAATCAGACAAGTCAGGTCAAAGTGAAGAAAATTTCCATCATCACACACAGCAACTGAGCCAGGGAGCACAAGGCACCAGCAAAGGCTGAGGAACTCACCTTGAAGATGGGGTCAAGGATGAGCTGGCAGAAGGTCCTAGGCAGTTTCTTTCCATCAGGGCTGGTAGCAGATTTGCTGAACTTGCCAGTAGCAGGATCAAAATATCTGGAGAAAGAAGTCAGACAAGCATCAACGCTCAGTTCAGCTGCAGAAGGGTGGTTTGTTCCACTTGCTCAGGCCAAAGGAAAGAGCAGCTGGTAAGAACCATCTTCCTACCTTCCCCCATCACTCTCAGGCTGTCAGAAATGCATTTAACTCATGTTGCCAACTCCCCATCCCCTCCATATCTATCTGTGTGCTTCTATTCTGCAAGAATTCCACAGGAAACAGGTTTGTTGCTATCAAGTCCCCGAGATGGGCCCCTAAGCAGACATGACCACATCCTCCACCTTCACCCACCTCCCACAGGTCAAGTGGCAGCCACACAGAGCTGATCTGCAAAGAAAACCAACACTCTCAACTCCTCACCTGTCTCCCCACAGCTTCTTCATCATGTCTTCTACTTTCTTGGCACGCTCAGATGGACTCAGCTGGGCATCACCCTTGGCAGCAAACTTTGCAACGTACATCTCAGCAAACTGTTTCAGTGTGAAAGCCCAGCCATGCAGGCCAGAACCAAAGCCAACAGTACCAAGCACGGGATCAATCTGAAAGGGAGGAGATGGGTTAGAGGGGCAATCACAGCTCTGATGGCCACAGAGCACTGCAGCACTCACAGCCCACTCAAGGAAGACAGTTTGAAGATAGAGCTTTAGAATGATGGGACCCTTGAGCAGTATTGTCACAACAGCCACCTCTGAGGTGTGGGGACAGCCTGGCCACACAGCCACCATTTAGCTTTGTCCTGCACCACCAGATCAATTCACCACTTTGACCAACAACACAGACAGCTCAGCAGCTGCACTGATCTGCAAGCAGGTGGAATTCCTGTTCTTCATGGGGAAATCATAAAACCTGCAGGAGCACAAGCTTCTCCTCTGAGGCAACAGCCCTGCTGACTCCCCAGGAACCCAATGGGAAGCAGAGCTTAAAGAGCCTGGTAAACCCCCCCAGGTCAGGGACAGCCTAGAAAGAGCTGCCAGGATCACAACACCATCACAGGTGTGGTGTGGGCAAGAGGACCTATAAAACAAGGGTACCCTTGGCAAAGGGAAAAAATACTTCATAGCCTGTTTGCTCCAGCCTTGAATTAAGAGATGTTGAAGAAAAGCTCATGAGAGCTCCACACCAGGGCGAGGTGGGTGGTACAGGCAGCTCCATTCCTGCTTCTCACTCCTCCACTGAGGTAGGAAGGAACCAATGCAGATCCACCACCACTCCCTGAACTCCAGCCTCCCACTTACCATGATGTTTCCCATGGGGCCACCTTCTCCTTCTCCATAGGTGGAGATGATGACATTGACGTTCTCCACGATGCGCTGGAAGGTCTGGTACAGCTCCTCAGGCTCCAGCTGCAGCTCCAGCAGGGCTCGGTCCATTTTGTTCATCATCAGCACAGGCTTGATCCTCTCAGCAATGGCCTGACGCAGCACAGTCTCTGTCTGCACACACACGCCTGCCAAGCACAGGGGAATCAGTTCTCATCCTCCAAACTCACCCCACACACACTCTCCAGCTGCAGGGAACCTTACCAGAGACACAATCTACAACAACCAGGGCACCATCAGTGACACGAAGAGCAGCAGTGACCTCTGAGGAAAAGTCCACGTGCCCAGGGGAGTCAATCAGGTTGATCAAGAAACCAGAACCATCCTTGCTCTGCTTGATGAAAGCCAAATCGTTTTCAGAGAGCTCATAAAAGAGGGAAATTGCTCTGAAATAAAGAGAAAGTATCATTATCTACATGTTAGCTCTCCTCAGTGCTTAGAAACAGGTTTTTATCCCACACAGGGAGCTGTGCCTGGGCTTGAGGATTTCCTGAAGGATCTTCCTAGGAGGCCAGTGTGAGTCACAACCAGGAGCTCAGGCTGTGTCTGTCCTTCCTGTGCTCTGCCAAAACCATAACCTGTCTGATTCTGTGCCCCTAAAACACCCCAAGGTTCCACATCCTTCAGTCCAGGAGTTAACCTTTTTCTACCAGGTCCAACCTCCTGTTTATTCCCTTTTTATGCCCCCCCAAGTCCTCAAACCACCCATGGTGACCAAGTCCCCAAGTACATCACCAGAGACCCTCCCAGGAGTCCCCACAGGACCCCAGAGGGCACCAGCCACATCCAACAGCCCCAGCACTAAAATGGAAGGCTGAAGCTTTGCCAGTGGCACAAAGACAGTGCCCTTATGATTCACCAGAAGCCACCAGTACTTGCTCCTTCCTCCAAGCAATCCTCACAAGGAAGAGATAAGCCTCAGAACTAGACTAGAACAACCCTGACACCATCCTTCATCTCATGATCAAACCAGCAGAGAACTCCAGGCCCCCCTGAGCTCAGTGGGAGCACCAAGGTGATCCTGCTCTAGCAGGGAGGGCTGCTCTAGATGATCTCCAGAGGTTCCCACCACTCTGGGACTCTCAGAAGGAGGGCACTCACGTGGATTTGATGGTGATGCACCGTTCCTGCTCATCCTTCCTGGTGTCAGTGAAGCGGGTCTCCCCAGCACGGGCAGAGGCAATGATTCCAGCTTTGCAGACCAGAGAATCAGTCAGGGTTGACTTGCCATGATCAACATGGGCAATCACAGACATGTTTCTGATGTTGGCCTTTTTGTCCATGATGGCCCGTATCTGGTCTACTGTGAAGTTCACCTTGAGAAATGAAAAGGGAGGGGGAAGCACAGGGTGGATGGAAATTTTTTTAGTGATTCTCGGGAGCTTAACAAGCACCACAAACACCTGCCA